ACACAGCCCAGAGACGCTGGGCATGTTGATGCCCACCTTACACAGCCCAGAGACGCTGGGCATGTTGATGCCCACCTTACACAGTCCAGAGACGCTGGGCTTGTTGATGCCCAACTTACACAGCCCAGAGACACTGGGCATGTTGATGCCTACCTCACACAGCCCAGAGACGCTGGGTATGTTGATGCCCCCCTCACACAGCCCAGAGATGCTGGGCATGTTGATACCCACCTTACACAGCCCAGAGACTGGACATTTTTCCAGCTGCCTGGAGCTGCTGTTAGGGAGCAAAAAGAGTTTGTGAACTCAACCAGCTGGCCCTGTGGTGAAGCAGGCCAAGCGTGGGAAGCAGGTCGGGGCTTCAAGGTCGGTACCTGGAACAGAGAAGGCAAATTGGTTTCCTCTGGTGGGTCAACTGCAGCTGATGGATGAAGCCATCGATCCTGCCTGATTGGGGAGCAACGGTGGTAACTGGACTAGGTTTTAAAAAAAGAGTGTGGCGTTTGATCAATGATGTCTGCCACTGGCAGGCAGCGGGGAAGGGAGGCATCGTGCCATGCACTGACCTGTAGAAACCCGAGCTCCTTACTCCATCCTCTGAGCTGGGGTTTTCCAGGCGCTCCCAAGTCTAGGCATTAAGGGGTCTCTGTTCTACTCAAAACCCAGGCTGCTGGGATGTCATCGTGAAGCCCCACAGGGAACGTCCTCATTGGGAAGTCCTTTAGGGACTAGATCTGGCGCTGATGTTCAGGACGAGAAGAAATCGTGCAGCGCAGTGCAATCTTCCTCACCCACCTTGGGCGCCGTCTAGAATCAAACAAGAAGGTGGAGTCTTGGGTAACTGTGGTCACTGACATGCCTGGACTCCCATAGGCTCCCTCTCTAGCTGATGCCACTCTGAGAGCGGTAGCCCAACGCCCGTCCTCCAGGGGCACGCACCGCCTTCCACAAGAGCCGAGTTGTCATGGTAGTTGTAAGAAGGCCTGGTGGCCTTGTGGGTTCCACGTTGGGCTGCCAACTGCAACGTCAGCAGTTCCAAACCACCAGCCGCTCTGAGGGAGAAAGATGAGGCTTTCTACTCCCGTAAAGATTCTCAGTCTTGCAACCCCACAGGAGAAGTTCTATGCTGTCCTGTAAGGTCACGATGAGTCGGGTTTGACTCAGTAGTCCTGAGTTTGGGCTTTTGAGAGTTTGTGTTTGGGGGGCGGGGGGGTGTTATACATTGGGCTGCTGACCACAGGATCAGCAGCTCAAAAACAGGAACAAGGTCACACAGAAATACGAGGGTCTTCCAAAAGTTGGTGGGGAAACAGCATCAAAAGATCCCGGAGTTTATGATTGAACTATGGAATCATATGGTATCTGAATCTACACATGCTAATAAAGCTGCCTTAAGAAATCACGACGCTTCCCCACCTACTTTGGGCAGCCCCCACTCACAGGTCTCTAGCTTTCACTGCTGGCGGCCGTGAGGTGTCTCATGGCCCCAGGAGTCAGGGAGATGGGGCCTGGCCGGACTCACCAGTGGGACCCTGGAGAGCACAGGCCAGGCTCAGGGGTGCTGCTGTCCCGTCCACAGGCCAGCTCGGCGCTGGACTGGAAAGACAGCCTGCTCGGTGGTGTCCTGAGGGTCCTGGTGAACTCACTGAGCTGCGACCAGAGCACCACGTACCTGGCCCACTGCTTCGCCACGCTGCGTGCGCTCATCGCCAAGGTAACGGGCCATTTCCATCCTGGCTCTTCCCTGGGTCAGCCACAGAAAGTCCCCATCCCCGCCAAACAGGGCCCGCCTGTCAGCTGCAACACACTGGGCCGGGGTGGGGCAGCTTTCTCTGCAGAGGGCCATGTGGGTTTCTCACATCCCCCGGTGGCCGTCGTGGTCAGACACTGAATTAACTCGCCCTGAATGTGGTGGCTGGAACGGCTTCTCCTTGGTGAGGCATAGGATGTGAGCTGCCAATTGATGACTTCACAGCCCTGTGGAGTCTATAGTCTTCCGGGGGGGCCCTGGTGGCATCGTGGGTTAAGTGTCAAAGGTCGGAGCCACCAGCCACTCCTTGGGAGAAAGATGAGGCAGTCTGCCCCCGTAGTCACAGTCTCAGAAATTCACAGGGTCAGTTCTGCCCGGCCCTGTAGGGTTGCTGTGAGTTGGATCAACTCGGTGGCAGGGAATCTGGTTTGGAGGAAGTCTTCTGAAAAGTCATACCATATGCGTTTCCTTCTGGCTCAGGAGCACAGGACCCCTCCAGTGGGACCGCTGGGGACTCCTGTCCCCTGGCTGCCCAGGGCAGGGAGGTCCTGCACTCCTGCACTCCACGGCCTAGGTCACCCTCCCATCATCAGTAGTCTCCAGGAGACCCAGTAATTTGAGGACGGTCCCTTCAGCACCACGACTAGCAGTGCTCCAGGGTGCACAGCCCGCTCCCTAACCGAAAGGTTGGCAGTTCCAGCCTACCTGGAGGTGCATCCGAAGAAAGGCCTGGCAACCAAGGCTGTTTATCACACGGCCCTTGCCGTGCTCGACCTCTAACCGAAAGGCTGGCGGTTCCAGTTCCCCCGAGGAGTCTGCTGCTTTACTTTGGGGGAGGGGGGACTCGCCCGTGGGAACCTTGTAGAGGACACCCGTGGGGTCTTCAGGAGCCCGGGCGGCTCACAGGCTCACACCTTGGCTGGGCAACCCATAGTTCAATCCGAGTCCATACCCCGGCTCCCCACTGGCTCCCCTGGAGGTGGCTGGTGGCATTTGGGAGCAGAGCACTCCCCTGTCTGAGGTCTGGCTGCCCCGGACAGCGTGTGTCGTCTACACACTTGGTGGGTTCCGGACGGGCCGGGGGTGGGCCTTCAGGGTGCTGGCTGACGCCCATGTCTGCCAGTTTGGAGACCTGCTGTTCGAGGAGGAGGTGGAGCAGTGTGCCGACCTGTGCCAGAGGCTGCTGCACCACTGCAGCAGCGGCCTTCACACCACGCGGCGCCAAGCCTGTGCCACCCTTTACCTGCTCATGCGCTTCAGCTTTGGAGCCGTCAGTGTGAGTGCCAGGGCCTGGG